AACCTTGATCATTATTATGACAAATCATCATTGTACAAGGAAGCAAGTAATCTCGCTATCATCGTATCCCATCCTCATGGATTCTCAAAACATGTGAGCGTCGGAGAATGGAGACCGTCTGATAAAAAAGTTGTCGGAAGGAAAATAAAACCAATGAAAAGAATAAGACACAACCCAGAATGGAACACGTCCAAGAAAAGAAATGCCGTTTACCAGTTTCAATTCCTCACACTTCCCTGCATATCTTTTTTACCTCTACAAATGAGTAGTTCTATGGCTGTAATAGTGTTAGCATTATTTCAACCAGGCTATGCTTTCTACGACACTTCTTTGTATCTATATGACACGTATCAACGTTCATTCCCAACTATGGTCAACAAAAATGGACGTAAGTATTCTTGTCATAGTCCTGGCATGGAGACTTAAAGCATAGATCAGAATAAAGAGGTGCTGCTAAAGTAGGCCCAGGACCACCTCCATGGGCTGTAGCGCCACTGGGATGCATGGATGGGTTCTTGTCATAGTCCGGGCATGGAGACGTAAAGCACAGATCAGAATGAAGAGATGTGCTAAAGTAGCCCAGGGCCCTCCTCCATGGGCTGTAGCGCCACTGGGATGGATGATGGATTCTTGTCATAGGCTATAATTTAAACAAAACAGACAATAAACTGCATTGCAGTAGCGTACCTTTAGACTTTGCTGCCTAGTGTGAAACTTCATTTGATTATCAATAATGTTAGGCTGAAAAGATAAATCGCATCGCATTATCAATATTATATTTATATTTATAGCTTTTATATAGCGCTACTTTCATGCTTTTTGCATGCTCAGAGCACTTTGGTCCAATCTCATTTGTGGACCAGTGAGGGGGGAGGGGGTATCTAGGAGTTGGTTTTCCATGCTGCCTTTAGGCGCTCAGTAAACACAACTCTGCCCGAGTCGGGTGTCAAACTTCGAGCCCACTTCTAGATAGCCAAGCCAAGCCAAGTTCAAGCGCATTTAGCCTATCGACCACGCTTCCCACTATATTATGTCAAGAGAAGGCGAATAAAATAGTTGCAGCTTTTTTTTCATTATCGGTAACTATTACATATATATATATATATATATATATATATATATATATATATATATATATATATTATAGATTAAGCCATGCTTTAAAAGCAATTAGGTACTATTTTATAAGATTACAATCTTCTTAGTCTTCAACCTTAGCAACCTCTCTAGATATATTAATTACTTAGCACGGTAATTTTACTGTGGAGGAAAGAAATTCACAATCTCTAAAATAATTAAATGTTATTAAATTATCATTTTGTATTGGCTATTTTAAACAGAGTCTGAAGCTGTAGCTATTGAGTGTAATGTTCAGTTTCCAGATGATACTGAATCCAAGTGCCAGATCTGGAGATTTAATAAACCTGTCAATGAGGTAAGTATTAAGATATATAGTGAGCAAACATAGCGTGTGTTTTATACGCTTTATCATCATCTGTCCGTTGATTTGCATGATTCTTCGCATAAGCAAATCCTTGCAACTTTCCAGGTCAGCAGCTATTTTTAGCAGAATATTAACTCTTTCTCTCCTAAGTGACGATATCATCGTTGATTTGACCTCATTAAATTAAATTTATGTTTAATTTTATAAACTTTACTTTGTGTTATATAAAAATAAATCAAGCATTTCCCTTTAATTCTAGACCAAAATAAAACACTTTCTGATAACGAACGAAAATGTTATTCAAGCTTAATCATAGCAGGGTAGATAATTACTAATGAGCAAATTGAAGAATGCTGAAGGAACATGGAAAATAATTACGTAGAGAAAGAGTTAAGGAAGAGGCCGGTCCATTCTTTCATTTTCTTAGCCAGTTTTTTTTTTTTTTTTTTTTGGACTACCTTTTCTTCGGTGCTTGCTACTCTATTCCTTGAAAAAATGACTGTTGAAAGTGAGTCGTGTCTTACCATGTGATAAACCAGCTCAGTTTTCGTCTCTTTACAGTATTGAGGAGTTCCTTCTGTGGTATATATGTATGGTTCATATGGGATTTACATTTAGTGACCTTCTGTGGTATATATGTATGGTTCATATGGGATTTACATTTAGTGACCTTCTGTGGTATATATGTATGGTTCATATGGGATTTACATTTAGTGACCTTCTGTGGTATATATGTATGGTTCATATGGGATTTACATTTAGTGACCTTCTGTGGTATATATGTATGGTTCATATGGGATTTACATTTAGTGACCTTCTGTGGTATATATGTATGGTTCATATGGGATTTACATTTAGTGACCTTCTGTGGTATATATGTATGGTTCATATGGGATTTACATTTAGTGACCTTCTGTGGTATATATGTATGGTTCATATGGGATTTACATTTAGTGACCTTCTGTGGTATATATGTATGGTTCATATGGGATTTACATTTAGTGACCTTCTGTGGTATATATGTATGGTTCATATGGGATTTACATTTAGTGACCTTCTGTGGTATATATGTATGGTTCATATGGGATTTACATTTAGTGACCTTCTGTGGTATATATGTATGGTTCATATGGGATTTACATTTAGTGACCTTCTGTGGTATATATGTATGGTTCTTATGGGATTTACATTTAGTGACCTTCTGTGGTATATATGTATGGTTCATATGGGATTTACATTTAGTGACCTTCTGTGGTATATATTTATGGTTCATATGAGATTAACATTTAGTGACCTTCTGTGGTATATATTTATGGTTCATATGGGATTTACATTTAGTGACCTTCTGAGGTTTATATTTATGGTTCATATGGGATTTACATTTAGTGACCTTCTGTGTTATATATTTATGGTTCATTCGGGATTTACATTTAGTGACCTTCTGAGGTATATATTTATGGTTCATATGGGATTTACATTTAGTGACCTTCTGTGGTATATATTTATGGTTCATATGGGATTTACATTTAGTGATATTCTGTGGTATATATTTATCGCCCTTCTGTTGCATATGTTCAGGGTCTTCCTGTGGTATATATCTAGGACCCTTCTGTGGCACATTTTTAGGGCCATTCTGTGGTATACATAAAGAACCATTCTGTTCTATATAGGCATATTTATCCATCTAATTATTCTTACTTATCTTTATCTTTTTTATTTTGTCTTTACAAAGCTAGCATCTCTGTTTAGCACCTTGTATTTTTACTATCGTAAGCAAAACTGTTTGTGCGTATCATAGATTGAAACAGATATTCACATCCCAATACATCACATAGAGTCAAAGACAAATATGAATGTGTTTAATAATTAATGGGGTCGCTTACCACTTGCGGTAATGCGACAGGCTGGGATTTTTAATCTCGGGACTCCACCTAGCTCTAGAGGTACATTACTTTATAAAAATTATTATGTCACAATGTCTAGACCTTTTTTTTAAATACTTTTTACAATAGACCAAATCGCTTCTTATGACGGAAGGCGGTATAAGTGGTACAGTGGACGATATCTACTTGGAGCTTGAATTCCCTGAAGGTTCAAAACAAATCATGAGAGATGATAAAGACATGGATTATTACTGGGATGCATTAACATGTGCTGTGAAAATATGGATGAAGCGAAAATAATACAGACACTATTTTTACAGAATATCTGTGTATAGTCATTAGATAAATTTACACTCGGTATTCCACTATACCAATGTTTTACTTCTTTTATCTAGACTAAATAATCTTCTTATATTAACTCCCTATATAAACAGATGAATTCTAAGAAATAATGTATTCTTAACCGGGGTTTTAGCCAGTGGCGTAGCTAGGATTTTGGCCATCATTTGAGGGTCGGGATGCTTGACACTTTTGGGGGCCCTTGCATTTTGCGTAATATTTAATATTAAATGTAAAAACACTCATTTGGGAACCCGGGGGGGATTTTCAAATTCTCCCCCTCCCTCCTTCACAGTAGCTACGCCTCTAGTTTCAGTTTGATCAAGACACCGGCCCAAAACCCTTCCTATCGAGCAAAGACTATGTAGAGAGCTGTCAGACCTGGAAACTACTGCGCAATTTATCACAGATATAGGACTACTTATATGAGCCCTCCACCATGTAAAAAAGAACGAAGAAGAAGACCCGGGAGCTGTCCCACGTGTCAATAAACTATCAAAGAATAGAAATAAACTAAACACTACGACAATCTGCAAATACTTCTTCCTGCTAATCTACCTAGGGAACTCTCAAACATACCAAGTGTCCCATAGTGCGAGCGCAACAACAATACAAATATCTTAATAGAAAACAAGAAAAACATTAACTCTTTCTCTCCGTAATTATCTACCACATTCTGGGGGAATCAACGCTGGTATCGTCAGTTTGGAGGGAACAAAATACTATTGTAAAAAGACAATACTTCCTTTATACAACTTATAGCGCGATTGTTGTTCTCTTAATAACTAATGAATGTGAGATTAAAAAAAAGCAAAAGAAATTTTATATATATATATATATATATATATATATATATATATATATATATATAAAATATATATATATAGGTCTGTGAGTTAATCAATGGCGGATAAGATTTTTTTTCCTTTTTCCGGTCTAGATATAATATATTTAGGTCTGTGACTTTGATGTTCAATTTTTTTTTATATTTGTAAGGTTCGCTGCGCAATTTTCAAACAAATCAGGTATTTTAAAATTCACGTTTTTTTAAATTGTATATTTAACTTTACTTATAATAGACATTGTAAAATTTAAATTGTTCCTTAGTGATTTAGTAGTCTTACATTGATGTATTATTTTATTCTGAACATTTTTATGGAAGTAATTGAAATCTTACTTTAAATTATAAAAATATTCTTTACTTTAAATTCCCACTCCTAAACAATATTTGTATAAAAGTATACAGTGTCTTTCCAAATTATTTTTTAAACTAAAATAATGGAAAAGAAAACAACAACAACAACACCAAAACAATAAAAGCAAAAAAAACAAACAAACAAAAACATAGGTGAAAAACAATTAAAAAGGATCATACATTTTTTTTTAATCAAACCATTTAATTAATTTTTTTGGTGGACCTTCACAGTTTAAACCTGTCTGTCAGTCAGTCTGACACGCTTAGATCTTAAAAACTAGATGAGTTATGGAAAATCTAATTTCATCATATTTTTTTTTCGGCTGGCAAGGCTTAGCTTCATTGGCTAATATTTTTTTCTTCTGAAAGTGGACCGTTTTTTAAATTAATTATGCAAGTCGTGTCTTTTTTAAATATGTAAGGGATATTTTTTTTTATTATGTTCACACATTTATACATTCAATTTTGTCTAATGGCATAAATAATGTAATAAAATTTGTTTATACTTATTTGTCTGTTTTATTATTTATGATCTACCGACGATTAACAAAAGCCGTTAATCTGTATCTTAGAAACTGAGAACACACTTTTGTGGACTAGTTTGGGGGAGGCGTAATTTGAGAGAAGGTTTCAATGCTACCTTTTCAAAAGTAATAAAAATAAAATGCTGGAGCCTCTGTGATGGAACTCTGACGTGTTTGCCACTGAGCTATTCAAGTACTTATATAAATAGAAGGTTTAATATGCTATTGTTAGTTAAAAATGTTTGTGTAAATGACCTGATTCTCTACATAAGGTTTATCTCCCCTAAGTTTAGTATATTTTCTATATAAAACAATATTAATTAATTACGACCAGTTGTGTTTTTGTTCATGAGTCACGTGCTGGTATTGACATTGAATAATTGTACATAGTTTCAATTTTATCAGAGAATGAAAAGTAGGAAGAATAATGTGTAAAAAATTTGACACCGACAGACAGACAGACAGACAGACAGACAGAGTGTTAATATAATCTTTGTAAAAAGAGACGGCTACACGGCATGGGGGAGATCATGTGTACAATGTGAATAAACCCTAAAATTTGAAATATGTGAAACTATTTTGGTAAAAAACTTAGGCGTATGTTTATGTGCATGAATGTGGAAGAAGACCATCTATACATATTACAAAATAATAATAATAATATCCTTGAGAAATATTTTTAAATCAGCATATCAATGATTCGAGCACCCTTAGTCCTAAAGTGGCGCCTAGGTGGAAACATCAAGTAATGGAATCAGGCCTCCGTTAGGTTATCATGGGTGAACTTTTTATTTATATATATCTGACTAAAGGAACATGAACCTGGCAACCCTGTCTAACAAGTCCGCCACGCAGCTCAATAAGTTTCCATCATAGTAGAACAATAGAAGTAGCGAATTCTGCATGGTATTGTGGTGGTTACATAATAGAATTATGAAGAAATACTCCGTGGGTTAGCAAGCGGACCCAGGACCGGAGTCTGCGATTGTGAAAAGCTCCCGGTCCACACCAGTCTTTTGGATATAATCCTTTTCAGCGGTAATCAGGTTGTTTTTTTTTCAGCGCACATTCCCTACTGTAATTCATTGACAGTAGGCATATCGCATCAGCGATTAGGCTGTTTTCGGAATGAATTTAAAGTACCGGTAAGCATATTCTAGTCTGGCTCTAAATTAGACAAGCAACAATGTATAGATATTTGCAAAGCAGACGTCAATAAATATATATTTATATATATATATATATATATATATATATATATATATATTTATATATATTATGCTCGACAAAGTAAAAGCTATCTACAAATTAATTTCCGGACCACATTGCTCTTAAGTATTTATCAGTGTATATATAACAATGAGATGCCCTTGTACCTTAGCGAACTGATTACTCCATATGTCCCCCAGAGAGCCCTGCGTTCAATGGACTCTACACTTTTAGTGGTGCCACGTTTCTCCCACAAAAGCTACGGTCTGCGGGCTTTTTCAGTGCACGGACCAAAGGTTTGGAACTCACTCCCCATTGATCTCAGACAGACAACATGCTACACCACTTTTAAGAAGAACATTAAGACCTATCTGTTTAAAACTTTTTTAGATTAACTGTCATTGTAGCTCTCGTGTTTGTGTTTGTAATGTTGTTACAGCGCCATGAGCCTACATTTTGTTTGTTAACAGCGCTTTATAAATAAAATTATTATTATTTTCTTTTTTAACATTATATTTCTTTGTAATATATATTGATATAGCAACTTATAATATTGCTAATTTTAAAACCAAAAAAAAAAAAGTAACAGAAAATAAAAAACAACAACAATATCTCCGTTGTGAAAGCTATGGGTTGTCTTTAATTTCTTTTTCTATTAATTTTTTAATTCTTCCTTATTTCAAGCACTTCCAAGGAGTGTTGTGAGCAATACAGAATCAAACACTTCCATGAACAATCCAGCTATCACTCATTTCAAGTATGCTGCAAAAACGATGCTTCATCTGTTATTCAATGGATACCAGCACATTGAGAACTAGAAGGAAATGAGAAGGCCGACACACTCGCCAATAGTGGGAGAACAAACACACAATTAAACATTGCACTATATCCAAAGGAAATTAAGAAACTAATCGTAAATAAAATAAATGAGAAATGGACAGGCTCTCATCCAAATCACAAGAAAGATGATGACTATTATAAGGCTTCCCGACAAGATCAAGGTCTAATATTTCGACTCAGGACCAGACACAACAACATATGTACCGGAAGCTCAAAATGGGAACCTGTGAAATATGCCCATTTGGAGTGTCACCTGAGAATGCTGACCATGTCCTACAAAACTGCTCTCTTTATGAAGAGGTCCGTTCAAGACAATGGCCTCAAAATACAGCAATAGAAAGAAAACTATATGGAGAGCTCCCTGATTTGGAAACCACTACTCAGTTCATAACATGTATTGGTCTAGTCATCTGAACGCTCCTACATAAAAATGAGAACCAAGAAGAAAGAAAAACAGGCCTCATCCTTAAGTGTTTATCATAAAACATCATAATTCTGTGTACAATTTCGTGTCAAACTAAAGTGCTCAACACTACATTTAAATTATTCTATTCTCTAATCCTAAACATCATACTTGTCTATCGGATGATTTCATTTTACTTCAGATTTATAAATTGCCCATTATTTTTTTAAAAGATCTGGATCTACTCATAGCATTGATAAATATAAAAAAAACACACCCACCCTCGCATGCAGTCACAAACATTGGACACATTTATTATGAAATAGTTTCATGACAGTCTGCTCGTTAACCGTTGGCCATATAAACAGATTCCTCTTCTTCTTAAACTGTCAGGTAGAGTTGAGCCTTCGTCTCTTGGAACTCTAGGCCAGCAAAAGTGAACAAGAGCTCCCTCTCACCGGCCTGTATGAAAACAATGTACACTGTTTTGTTTGGCGGGTGGGTTAGACTCGCGGCAAGAGGCCGCGTATAGATCTACTAGATCCCCGCCATTTCTCTTTTCTATACCAGGCTAACTGTGCGGGACACACCATTTATTATGTAACGGCTTTTTGAGAAACAGCGCCGGACTGTGACAAGGTTGTGGGAGCTTTTTTACAACTCCGCGCAGTGCAATGAGGATTCTCGCATCCCCTTAGGCAATCCTCAATGACAGATAACCTTAACACCATCTGTCACAAAAGATCGCAATGTCTGAAAAGGGAACTTAACTCTTTTACAAGTTTCTTCAACGCTTTTAATATGCAAACTGGAATTTCCCATAGGCCCACTTCAACTATTTTATGGCCTATAGCTATTCTATTTTAATATTTTTTCAGGTTTTTCCCAATATTTGTTGGCAAAATAAATTGTTTTTTTTGTTAAATTAACCATACATACGAAATAACGTTCATTCCTATACTGTATTCATGTTGCTATTTTTACAATATAATTGTAATATATTATATTAGTATTTTTTTCCCTTCTTATAATAGAGAATGTCGCTGGGCAGAGGAACATCGGGTAAGGGCTTTTTTTTTTACACCTATGTCTAATGATAAGTTATTATAATTTAAAGTAAAAAAAAAAAATTAATAATATACTTGATTTCACATAGGAAAGACAAATATTCGAGCCAAATTTACCAATGAAATTTTTTAAAATTAAATTTCAAATATGAGTTAATCAAACAGCGAGAGTTTTTGGCCTAATGAGATTTTGACTATAGAGAAAGATTTCAGTTCATAATTCCTAAGATTAAAAAAATGTAACAAATTTATTACGTAATATATTATGATTATTGTTTTTCAACCCAACGTTCAAAGCATAGACTTGTTAGCCAAATCATATCAACAACCCGTTACATTCAAAACAAGAAACAATCAAATGCAGGTTAATTACTAGAGATAGATCTAGTGGGTTGATGTTTTTGATTGTTTTTTATATAGAAAACAAAATCTAATCTGAAAGCGAGACAATGTTTAGATCACAGAGCTATTATATGCATATATATAGGTCTGTGGTTTAGATATATTCTATAATACAAACATAGTTTATTTTTCGCTGATTGTTTCGAGTTTCAAATAAACGTATCTCAGTCTAGAGTCTAGACTCTAGACTCTAGAGTGATGCGTGTCAACAGAACTAAGGTAAATGGATGTTTATTTTTGAAACCTTGTTTTAAATGAAGTTAATGCAGTGTGTATCGCTTTATTGAAGAAGTCTGTTATGCATAGCATCCCCTATGTTTCCTCAGAGGCGTGTCCAATGAATTTCGACTCTATTCCAGTAGTGCTCTGTAATGGCGATCCATTCAAAGTAAACATAGAACTTCAAAACGTTCATGGAACAGACTACACAGTTCAACATGTAGGCCAGTTTCTTCAATTATTATTATCTTTATTTTCGTTATTATCTTAATTATAACACTTAAAGTATATATTAAACACTGGAAATAGTTTAAATTGTAGCTCGCTGTCTGTGGGGTTAAGACAAGTTTCATGAAATATCACAAATATGTATTATTGAGATATTAAACTATTATATAATAGCCCTGGATGTGGGTAGCCACATGAAATACTGCATTACTCACTAATTTCGGACTCGAAGACAAGCCTTATTATTATTATTATTATATTATAATCCGAGGAAAAGTCCCAATTTACTAAATACGCAGGAATAAGAAATATGCGTTTACCTTTTTGTAGATCTTTGAAATTTATAAGTTTGTTTTTGTATTTGTAATTTATAAGTCAGTGTTTTTATGTTTTATTGCTGCTATACTATACAGACTGCGCATATTTAATAACTTCTAGTTTCTGTTCTTATTCATACTTATAATTAATTCAAATAAAATACATATTGCATTTATAGAGCGATATTAAGTAAACGTATGGATCTATTGGCGCCATGAGTACATAGACTAAAGAGAGAAAAATACGATTGAGAAATAAACTTAATACATGGATATCTATAGTACATATACCTTTTCATA